AGCCGCCCCCCACCCTCTCCTCCTTTCCTTTCCTAATTCCAGCTCGTCTCCGCGACCTGCGGCAGTCTCTTCGCGTGTGCTCGAAGCATTGGGCTTAGAGCAATATGAGGACAACGGAATGCGGAGCTATCGCCACCACCTCCTTCCTCCTAACCGCCCTTTCCAACTCCTCTGTCTTCTTCCTTCCCCTCCTCTCCCCCCCCATCTTCCCCCCGCCTCCTCCTTGGCCCTGCCCCCCCATTCCCATGCGGCCATGGGTACTACGCGCATACAAGCAGCATCGTGCATGCGTTAGTAAATGATACATGCTACACGCCCCCCCGCCCCCCCCCCCGAGGGGCAATTTCAATAAAACGCTGGGGATGCTGGTCATATCGGCGATGGCAGAACAGAGCCATCGGAAGAGGTTGTCATGCAATGCTGATGCGATTGCAAATTGTTTATGTAACGAAAAACCTTCGCGTGTGGTCATCCTTCTACTCCTACGATCCTACTACTCATCCTGCTGCCTGCACCCTACTACCCTACACCCTACTCGTACTCCTGCTCCGACTGCCCCTCCTCGCGCCCCTCTGGCCGGAAGAGCCGCGAGGAGCCGTTCAAGCTCACTGTGTGTGCCCATCGAGATCCAGACACTGAGCATGCGAACTCACATTGCCGTGGCAACTGTAAAACCGTCTTTAGCACGGACTGGGAAGCGAAGACGTTCAAGCAGTACAAATCCAACCAAGGAGATGTTTGAGGGGGCGAGAGGCGATCCAAATACTCGCCAATTCCGCAGTGGACGCGTAGAGCAACACAGGGTAGCCCCACGACGATCCAATATGGCTTCAAGATAGCTCACGAGGCCCCCAAGACGGCCCCAAAGCGCCTCCAGAGGATCGCCGAGAGGTCCTGAAGAAGCCCAAATCACCCCATTCCCTCGGAAACACTTGCATGTTCAGCACATTCGCATGGTAAGTTTTGACAGCGAACGCGACGGCCCAAGTGGCCCCCAAGATCGTCCCAGGACGGCCCATGATGCCTCCAAGAAGGCAATAAAGGGCCCAAGAGGACCCAATGATAGTCTCAGGGGCCCCCAAGAACGGCCCAAGACAGCCCATGGAGGATCCCAAGAGGGCTCCAAGAAAGCCCAAGAGGGGGAATACGAACTGACATTTCGAGCCTTTCCCACCAAGATGGCCCCTCGAGCCCCCCAGAGGCCCCTGAGGGCCCTCCAAGAGACCTCAAGAGGCCGCCAATACGCCCCCGAGAAGTCCCCCAGAGGCCCCTACGAGGCCCAGAAAAATCCTCCCACATGCTCCCACGATTCGTCCAAGAGGCCCCAGAGAGGCATCCCAAGAGAACCTCAGATTCATCCAGTAGGCTCCTGACCCAAGGCATAACTTCCACGATAGTATCAAACACTCACTCCTAGTGGGGGTCGGCGGAATGGCGTAAGCCACATGAACACATGAATAACGGCAACACCCGTTTGATGGGCGACGCATGGTTTATGCCAGAACTCGCGGTCAAGGAAACATAAATACACAGATCCAGATCAATGAACCCGGTACAAACATTTTGTTGGAGCTGTAGTTATCCATGCAGACGGGCTACCAGTTCAGAGACGTCCTGATTCATCTGGCCCACTTCATGAGGGTCAGCGGTGCTGCTATCGCAACGGGGGTCCTCGTCTACGCCCCGAGCTGGAAACCTCCAGATGAGACCTTGCGGCTCCCTGTGGGGCTGCGACGCGTGAAACTGTCGCCATTCACGTGGGCTCCTGAGAGGTCGCGCGGAGTGGAGCAACACAAGAATCCAACTGAGACCTCGCGGCTCCCTGTGGGGCTGCGACGCGTGAAACTGTCGCCATGTTCGTGGGCTTCTGAGAGGTCGCGCGCAGTGGAGCAACACGGGGATCCAACTGAGACCTCGCGGCTCACAGCGGGGCTGCGAAGCGTGAAACTGTCGCCATTTTCGCGCGGAGTGGAATCATACGGGGATCCAATTGAGGCCTCGCGGCTCACTGGGGCGCTGCGAAGCGTGAAATTGTCGCCACGCTCGTGGCCTCGCGGCTCCCTGTGAGGCTGCGAAGCGTGCAACTGACGCCACTTCCGTGGGCTCCTGGGGGGTCGTGCGCAGTGGAATTACACGGGGATCCAATTGAGACCTCGCGGCTCCCTGTGGGGCTGCGACCCGTGACACTGTCGCCACGTTCGTGGGCTCCTGAGAGGTTGCGCGCAGTGAAAATACACGGACACGGGGATCCAATTGAGACCTCGCGGCTCACGGTGGGGCTGCGACGCGTGAAACTGTCGCCACTTTCGTGGGCTCCTGGGAGGTCGCGCGCAGTGGAATTACACGGGGATCCAGTTGAGACCTCGCGGCTCCCTGTGGGGCTGCGACGCGTGAAACTGTCACCACGTTCGTGGGCTCCTGGGGGGTCGCGCGCAGTGGAGTTACACGGGGATCCAGTTGAGGCCTCGCGGCTCCCGGCGGGGCTGCGAAGCGTGAAACTGTCGCCATTTTCGTGGGCTCCTGGGAGGTCGCTCGGAGTGGAATCATACGGGGATCCAATTGAGGCCTCGCGGCTCCCGTTGGGGCTGCGAAGCGTGAAACTGTCGCCACTTTCGTGGGCTCCTGGGAGGTCGCGCGGAGTGGAATCATACGGGGATCCAATTGAGGCCTATTGAGGCCTCGCGGCTCCCGGTGGGGCGCTGCGAAGCGTGGAATTGTCGCCACTTTCGTGGGCTCCTGGGAGGTCGCGCGGAGTGGAGTTTGGGTGGCTGCGAAGCGTGAAGCTGTCACCACGTTCGTGGGCTCCTGGGAGGTAGCGCGGGGTGAGACCTCGCGTCTCCCTTTGGGCTCCTAGGAGGTCCAGCAGTGCAGAAATATGAGGATCCCCTCGAGACCTCGTGGCTCCCTGGGGAGCTGCCAGTTCTGAAGCAAAACAGCGCGTCGAGCTTGCCTCGCTCAACGCGACGCGCTGTTTTGCTTTAGAGCGCATGGCACTGTTATGTCCCGCGTATGTAGCGCGTTGCGCTGTTACTGTCACTGAACCCTCCTCCACATGCTTATGTCCCCGTCCCTATCTTGCCATTCCTGCGTGTTAGTGATGTACATATATGGGGGCTCGTGCGCACTGCGAGTGCTTCCTCATGTTTGTTGTGTATGAGAGGTTCTTAATATCTTCGCCATGTGTTTAGAACGAGTTGGGTACGTCACTGGGTAATTTCAAAGCAATCGTTCACGAAACGCGTTCTGTTCCCCATTCATGTTCCTGGCACGTCTTCTGTGGTTAAATGTAAATGGGCGCCTGTGTGAGAATGAGTCGCATGTCTGAGTGTGAGCGAGTCAGAGTGTGAGTGAGTCTGAGTGCGAGAGATCCTGAATTTCACTGGGTCTGAGTGTGAGTAAGTCTGAATGTGAGTTAGTTTGAATGTGAATCCTACCCATGTGAATGGGTCTGACTGTGAGTGAGTCCGGGTGTGACGGAATCTGAGCTTGAGCGGGTCTGAGCAGGATGGGTCTGAGCAAAAATGAGTCTGAATATGAGTGAGTTTGAATACGTGTCAGAGTGTGAGTGAGTCTAGGCGTGTGTGCGTGTGTGTCTGAGTGTGCGTGAGTCTAAGTGAGTCTCCGGAATCCATGCTGAAAAGCGACGCCCAACTGGGGGTCTGAAACAAGCGCCTCGCTCAGGACATCCTCACAGCCTGCCTGATCACACATCCTCCTCCCCCTCCCTCCTCATGCTCCCCACTCCTCTTCAATGTTCCTCCTCCTCCTGCCAGCGCCTCGTACATCCTCACGCTCTGCTCTGAAAGCAACGCCTCGCTCGAGACATCCTCACAATCTGGGCGCACATCCTCAAGTGTGCTGGCCCCTGGCGGCTTGCCTCTGGAGTGCTGAAGCCAGCGCCTCGCCTGAGACATCCCCACAATCTGCTCCGAAAGCAGAGGATGTTGCGGACACAAACAAGCAAAACGCGTGAGACATCCCCACAATTTGGGCGCGAGTCCTCAAGTGTCCTGGTCCCTGGCGGCTCCCCCTTGGAGTGCTCTGAGACATCCTCACAATCTGCTCCGAAAGCAAAGATGTTGCGTACCCAAGTAGGCAAACCGCCTGAGACATCCCTACCATGTGGGCGCGAATCCTGCAGTTTCCTGGCCCCTGTCCCCCCCCCAGGGGTGCTGAAACCAGCGCCTCGCTTGAGACATCTTCACAATCTGCTCCAAACACATGGGATGGTGGGCATGCAAACAAACAAAACGTCTGAGACATCCACACAATCTGATCGCGAACGGGCCCGTGAAATACCCCCTGACGGCGGAGTGACGACAGCGCCGCTTGCGCCCCTCAGTGTGACGAAATGATGTGACTGAGACTGACGGAAGAAGACTGAGTCTGAATATGCGTGAGTCTGAGTGAGCGTGAGTCTGATTGTGAGTGAGCCTCGAAGAAGTAGTAAAGATGGATTGACTGCGGGTGCTGAAGGAGGAGGGAGGGTTCCGATTTCCTTCCTGAGGAATCGTAAACATCTAAGTAACAACGAGAACCCCACCTTAGGATATGGGTAATATACTGCACCCCCTTCTTAGGACATGGGAAGTGAATAACTAAAGTCGAACTAAACTATATAATGCGTCACTGTCTCGGTTCATCATATCGTCGATGTCGCAACCACACACCGAGAACAGTGCAGTGTACGTGTCACCCTGTGGGTCCTGCTCCGTCGTGTAAGGCTGGCATCCTGATCGTGGGTCATGTGATTTTCTGGACGCCCGAAACGGGCATGGGAAACAACGGTACGATACCCAGCAACAAATGCTGTCCAAAACCGACAACGGCCGCGGTCGGGCCTGCGAACTTCCGTTTAAAATGCATGCCAACAAATACCTCCAAGACCCGTGACCTTCAAAACCCCCTTGAGATGTTATCCAATGTCTGATGAGACCCGGCTGGGGCGGGCATGCACGTTCTGCTGCCGCCGAGGCCACTCCTTGTCGTTGCGATCCTTCAGCGCCGTGATCTGCTCGTTGCGCTCCTGCTCCTGCTAGCACCAGGCGCAGGGAATGGATGGAGATCGAGGGTCGGGGTCTGAGGATCGACTTCGTACCTCCCATGGCCACTTTCCCCAAACAGTGGTTGCACTAAGAGGGCTCATACCTCCTTATTTGAGTAACTAGCCAACTGGCCGGCGTTTCGGGGGTTCGCCCAGACGCCGGCCATAATCGTGTCGTCGCCGCCTCGTGCGCTGGCTGACGGTTCTGGGTGTTCGCCAGGTATTCGCGAGTGGCCGCCTCGTCGCCGCCTAGCGCACTGGCGGTTCCAAAGTTTTCGCCCCGTCGTCGCCTCGTGGTCGCCTCATGTGCTGCTTGTCGGTTTTGAGGGTTCGTTTGGTATCCGTCCGGGGTCGTCTCGTCGTCGTCTTATGCACTGGCTGGCGCTTCTAGGGTTCTCGCTCCGTCGCCGCCTCGTGGCCGCATCTTACGCTGGCTGGCGGTTCTGGAGGTTTGTCCAACCGTGGCCGCCTCGTCGCTGCCTCGTGCACTGGCTGGCGGTCCTTGGGTTTTCGCCCTGTCGCCGCCTCGTGGCCGCCTCCTGCGCTGGCGGGCGGTTCTGGGGGTTCGCCCAGTAGCCGCCCGTGGCCGCCCGTCGCCGCAACGTGCGCTGGCTGGCGTTCCCATGTATCCGTTCGGTTGCCGCGCTCATTGCCGCCTCGTCCCCGCCTCGCTCGCGGCCACATAGCTTCCGACATAAAGCTTTACAACATAGCGTCCATCACACAGCTCGCACCGCACAGATTGCACCACAATGCTCCCACCACACAATGCAATTAGCTAGTCAGCACCGTCTCAGGCTGCAGCAACATGCTTCCGCCGCATGGCTTGCACCACAATGCTCCCACCGAGTAGTTTGCACATCCTCAATTCACAAGCTCACTGCCTGGGGCCCATGCTGGCAAACATTCTGAACACTTCAGCAGGCCTCCAAGGAACCTCCATGATGAAGCCTCCAGCGCAGGCGGATGGAGAGGGGAGTTGGATTACGCTGTGGACGACAAGGCTGCTACGTAGATGGCCAGGGGCCTGGCAGCGGATAATTAGGGGGGGCGACGGGTTGGGGAGGAGGGAGGGGGGAGGGGGGACGGGGTATGAGGGGGGAGCGGAAGGGAGGACTTTGTCGAGGTGGAAATATGGATGGTGGAGGGGATGAGGATGCGACGCGCGGTTTCGCGAGGTGCGTCCTCCATGGGGGGGGATGAGGGAAGGGGGGGGGCAAGCGGGAGAGAGGGGGGACTCTTTGCGGAGGGGAGTGACGGATAGGAGGAGGGAAGCGGGAATCCGATGAGGGAGGAGGAAGGAGCTTCTGTCCCCGGCCTGTTTGGAAGCCCCCAGGGGGTCGCCCTCGACGCCATGGCTGGGCCCGCGTCTAGTCGCAGCGCGCACTCATGTGAGGGGTCCCGTGGTCGATCTCTGAGACAGGCGGGAGCGCAAGGAATGGCGGCGCACACAGGGGGCTCCGGCGCAGATCCAAGAAATCCGCGCGGAGCTCCGACCGGTTATGCTTGCGCCGTTGTTTTCTTCTTCGACCTCCTCCTCCTCCTCCTGCTCCTCCTCCTTCTCCTCTTTCCCCTCCTCCTTCGCGGCGCGCACAACGGGGTTGGGGGAGCGGGCAGAGCTTCTTAAAAAGAGGCTGCTTCTCAGAAGGCGCGGGCCCTAGTTACACCTATAGAAAAGGCCAGCGTCTTCTGAGAGGCAGGGGTGCTTCTAAGAAGCCTTCCAAAAAAAGCCTCCTTCTAAGACGCCTTCCCCCTCTCCCCCACCCATACCCCCATCTGCGCGTGGCCGAATGGAGGAGAAGGTGCCTCGGATGAGAAAGGGCGGACGGGGAGGGTTTTGATGTGGGCTGGACCTAGATTCAGCGTTGCTGATTGGCCCACGCTGGATAGCCGACAAAGCTCATTTGGCACCCTTGCCTCGCTTTTGCTGGCGTGGGAGAAGGGGCGGGGGGATGAGTCAGATAGACGTGACAATGTTTGTGATCCTCTGGCGATAATGGGCGTGACCGGGTGGGGGGGGGACGGAGGGAGGGGGCGGGTCAGGTCACGATTCGCGACGGCGCCTTCTGGAGATGCCTAAGAATGGCTCATTTCCAGACGGCGCTGGCACAAAGCGTGACGTGACCAAGGGGGAGGTAGAGGGGTAGAGAAGGGGGCATGGTATGTACCGATACCGCTACTCTTCGACTCTCTCCCCGGGTGCGTTCTGACCAGAATTTCAAAACGAATCCAGCCGTGGCAAGAGCGGCAGTATCAGTGCCTGCTCCTCCCAGGAGACCCAAACAGGCATCCCAGGAGGCCCAACACGGCGAGAAGGGGGCTCCTCTGTATCTCGACGTGCCCTCTGCTGCCCTCCCCCCATCAGGGCCCCGCGGCGGGGCGCGCGCGCGAGCGGGTCGCTCTTGGCGCGTGGAGTTCTTCAGCCCGGCCAGCTCGTTGTCGATCGCCAGCTCCTCCTGAGAATCCCCGGCGCGGACGGGCAGGGCAGGCCCGAGCTGGATCGAATCGAGAAATCTGACGGCGGAGGGGGCTCGTTCGGCAACGGATCGGATCGCAAACGTATCGTCCCGCATCGATCGCCGCGCCTGGCTCTGGCTGGCCCCAGCCTATGCCGGTGAATCGAGCCGAATGGAATCGCATCCGAACCGCGGCCCAAGCTGGCGAATCGAATCGCATCGAATCGGATCGCCCGCGGCCCTGGCAGGGCGCTCCTCGCCAGTCCATGGGGCCTCGGGGAGGCCCTCCGTCGCCACGGCTGAACCCGCCTCGAAATCCTGGCCAAGGCAGAGAACATGTCGACAGAAGGCCTTTGGCAATTTTCAGCCTCTCGGGGACCTCACGAGGCCCTGGGGCCATCAAATCCGACTTGGGATGAGAAGCCCGTCGCAAAAAAAGGGTCCCGACCTCGAGAAGTCCAGGTTGTGAGAAAATCACGACGGTCGGGGATCGACGACGACGATGAGGACGCCTCGACGGGACGTGAGGATCGATGATCAAATGGCGCGGACGATTCTGACCCTTTCGGGATGATTGCAAGCTCCTCCTGACACCCCCCAGGGATGCGCTGAGCAGCAGCGTGAAGAGGAAACAGACAACGAGGACGCCGACGACGACGCCGACGAGGGCGGAGCAAAGATTTTTGGCTGAGATTTTGGACGTGTTTGGCCCGTTGGGGCTCCAGTGGCCTCAGGGGGCCTTCGTGAACCTTTGGTGAGACCTCCAGGGGCTTTCAGTGGCCCTCATGGGAGGAGGAGGGACGGAGGCTGGAGGAGCGAGGGGGAGGGAGGAGGGATGATAGGGAGGGTTCGGAACTGTTTATGGAATGTAGGAGGCCCCATGGGGACCTCAGGGGGCTGGCCCAAATGACACTTCTTAACAAACCAGCTGGGTCGAAGTGGCGCCATGAAACATCCCCTCGAAGGACCTGCTGGCGGGGAAAGCGCGGCAGCCACGAAGCGGCTCCTGTCCCAAGAAAGAGAAGCGGTCAGATAGTCAACCCGCACAGGAAGAAACATTGGAATAACCATAATCAACATCGGAAGTTGGGGGATGAGTCCGACGTGAAGCGGAGACACCCCTACCGGGAAATCGATTTCGGCTTCGGGTTCGTGTCGTGCGTGCCGTGCGTGCGTGCGGGCGAAGCGGAGCTGCGTGGGCGGGCGAAGAAGAAATGCTCCTGTGGCTGGGCAAGGGCCAAACCAAATGATTCTCCTCTGGCGGCCGGTGGCCCGCAATGTCCCGCCGGTGTCCCGCTGGTGTCCGGAAATCCTCCTGTGGCTGGGCCGCGGCCGGACCAAATGTTTGTCCTCCGGCGGCCTGTGGCCCGCGGTGTCCCGCCGGCGTCCCGCTGGTGTCCCGAACTCCTCCTGTGGCTGGGCCGCGGCCGGTCCAAATGACTCCCCCCGTCAAACGGTGGCCCGCGGTGTCCCGCTGGTGTCCCGTTGGTGTCCCGCCGTGGGTTGCGCATTTCAAAACATCGCCGCTTGCGGTGAGCTATCCCATGCGAGTCTGCACGCACACCGACATGCAGACCGAAAAGCACATCGAAATACGTATCGATTAGCACATCCAAATGCAAATCGCAAGGCGCCGTGGGCACCGCGGCGAGCTTTCTAACGCGTATCGACATGCAAATCGAAAAGCAAATCGAAAGGCAACATCGGGTGGCGCCGCGAGCAGACACTGTGGCACCGCAGCGCGCACGATCGACCCCGTCGACTAGCGTTGAGGTGAGGTTCGGGCTATTGATAGCGCGCGCGGGGACAGCGCTCCACGACAATGTCGAGTGCGCTTCGCCAACATCGCCACATCACATCACGCTCGCGTGCACAATCACAATACTCACTAGGAGTCCGCCCCACAGGCAACGTCAGAACAACAATCGCCACTTTTGCCCATTGCTGCCCCCCCGACACACACACACACCACACTCCTTATCACCCGCACGGTGGTCGTATATATATATATATATATATATATATATATATATATATCGGAGGTGAAAGATCATATCGAAGTGAAACGGAAAGCCCCCTACCAAGAAATCGGTTTCGGTTGTTCGTGCGTGCCGCGCATGCGGGCGAAGCGACGCTGCGTGGGCGGGCGAAAAATGTTCCGCCTGTGGCTGAGGCGCGGCCGGAGCAAAATGCTCCTTTCCGGCAACAGGTGCCGCGCGGTGTCCCGCCGGTGTCCCGTCGGTGTCCCGATGATGGCGATGATGATGATGATGATGATGATGGCGATGTTGATGATGATCATGGCCATGGTGGTGATGATGATTGTGTTCCGATGATGATGACGCTGAAGATGCTGTTGGTGATGGTGGTGCCCCGATGATGATGGCGATGATGTAGATGATCCTGATGGCGTTCATGATTAAATGGTGCTGCTGATCATGATGGTGTCCCGATGATGATGGTGGGGTTGACGACGATGTTGTTGGTGATGATGATGGTGATGGCGATAATGTCCCGACGATGACGATGATGATGATGATGACGAGGATGGTGTCCCGACGGTGGTGATGATGATTAGGTTGGTGATGAGGATGATGATGAAGTGATGATTATTATGATGGTGGTGACCCGATGCTGCTGATGATGCTGATGTTGATGATGAGAATTGTGTCCCAATGATGGTGATGATGGTGCTGACGATGATGGTGGCGATGACGATGGTGTCCCGATGATGATGTTGATGATATTGCTGATGATGGTGTCCCGATGATGATGATGTTGATCATGTTGTTCACGGTGATGATGCGATGCTGATGATGGTGGTGTTCCGATGGCCATGATGATGATGGTGTCCCGATGATGATAATGTTGATGGCGGTGATGGTAGCGATGATGGTGCCCCGATGATGGTGATGGAAATGATGATGGCCCTGGTGGTGATGATGACGGCGTCCCGATGATGTTGATGCTGACGATGCGGATGTTGCTGGTGAAGATGATGGTGTCCCGGTGATGATGATGTTGATGATCCGGATGACGTTGATGGTAAGATGATGAGATGATGGTGATGAAGATGACGATGGTGTCCCGATGATGGTGCTGATGATGGTGATGAGTTTGATGGTCAAGCTGTTGGTGATGATGTTTGTGATGATGCTGGTGTCCAAATAATGATGACGATCGATGGTGACGATGATGGTGTTGGATGGTGAACATGTTGATTGATGATGAGGACGGTATGAGTTGATGATGATTATGATGATGGTGGCCCGATGATGGTGATGATGTTGGTACTGATGATGATGGTCCCCCGATGATGATGATTGTGGTGATAATGGCAACGATGATGATAATGTCCCGGTTGAAATGATGTTGATGATGCTGACGTTGCTGATGATGATGATGATGTCCCGATGATGATGCTGATGATGGCGATGTTGTGCGTGATGGCTACGAGATGATTGTGATGGTGTCCCGATGATGATGCTGATGATGGTGTCCCAAAGATGATGATGTTGCTGGTGGTGATGGCGACGATGATGATGTCCCGATGATGATGATGATGGTGGTGGTGATGATGATGATGGGGATAGTGATGATGATGGTTATGAGGTAATGATGATGATGGTGTCCCGATGACGATGATGGTGATTATGTTGATGACGTTGATGTGAAGATGATGATGATGATGATGATGACGTTGACTGTGAGATCGACTGTGATATCGCTAGTGGTATCGATACTGGGGCCGAGTGTGAGATAGATCGTGAGATGAATAGTGGGATTGATTGTGGGATCGATAGTCATATCGATTGTGAGATCGGTCGAATGAAGGAGATCAGCAGTTTTCGATTGTGCAATCGATCGAGTGAGATCGATCGAGCGATGCCGATAGTGAGATCGATAGTAGGATCGATAGTGAGACCGATCGAGTGAGGCGTTGGTTCACCCCCCCCCCCCCCCCCCCCCCCCCGAAGCTCCGCATCACCCGGGGGGTGGTCGTATGGGTATATATGTATGTATATATATACACGCATTCAGACTCACAGGTGGAAGACGCGTGTCCGGGCTGCAACAAGAAACAATGTAAGGGTCACCGATGGGGGCGCGAAGGCATGCGATTACACGGAATGCCGAGATGCACGCCAGCGGGCATGAACAACCACATTTGGAAAGAATTGGGCAACCAATTGGAATATCAAAGCAAGATACGTCCGCTTCTATCTGTAGCGTTGAACATCATTGATTTCCACGGCGCCCTTGAAGGCTCGAGCAAAGACGTGGGATAATTAGATGGCGCGCTACTGGTATACCAGCTGCTCTCAAGCAGTCATGCGCAACATCACTGACGCGTGATTGCGCGCTATGCGTTAAGGAAGTAGGAACCGCGCGTGCTTCTGATCTCTGGCGTCGCGATCTACATGAAAAGCGCGTCCGGAGCCCAAGCGCGCGAGAGCGCCCCGGGCGTTCTGGCTCGGATAGGCGCGCGCGGCAATCGACATCTGCTAGAACCGCGCGCGAGCTGCGCGCGGTTAGGTTCTAACGCGGCCCGCGCCAACCTCGCGCAGCGACGCGGGGGTGGCCATCGCCCCGCAGGGAACGCCGCTTGGGGGCGCACTTCCTAATGGGCGCTTCAAGAACCTGTGACTGCTGAATGAGAAAGCCCCAAGGGGCCCCGCCGCTCTGAGCGGAAACGCCGAGCAACCGCCCGAATACATATTCCGGGGGGCTTCGGGGAACATGTGGCCTGTGGATCGTCTTTCGGCCATCTTGAAAATCTCCCGGGCGCCTCGAGAGCCCCTCGGACTATCTGGGAAGCGTCGCTGGAGGTCCCTTGGTGCCCCAGCAGATATTTAGCGATTCGTATCGTGCAGGGGCAGGCGGGCCAGTCTTCGGCGCGGCCTTGGGAACCCCTGAGGCCGAACTGTGCCTCGCTGGGAACTACGCGCGGCGCCGGACAGATGGCTCGACTCACTCTTCTCTCATGGGGGCGACGTCCA